CAGATCTAGATTTAAGGAAAAATTTGTTTGCCAATGTTGTCTTATCCGGTGGTTCGACACTTTATAAAGGTAACTTTATTTTATTTGTAATGGGAGAAAAATGTTTTTACTCTTGATATATTTAAACGTGAAATTAATCTCTTTTGTTTCATAAAGATTTCGGTACTAGGTTGTTGAGTGAAATAAGGAAATTGGCAGTCAAGGATATTAAGATTAAGATTTTTGCACCATCAGAAAGGAAATATAGTACATGGATTGGTAGTTCTATATTGGCAGCCTTGAGTACATTTAAAAAGGTATGCGTTTTTTTTTTAAAAAAAAAAAAGGTTTCTATTTACAACAATGACTTTTTTTTTCACGAGTAAATAATTTACGATGATATTATTTTTAATAAATATGGGTTTCGGCTGAAGAATTTCAGGAAGATCCTGACATTATTCACAGAAAGAGTTTTTAATTTATCACAAACATATTACATTTTATTACATTTATTTAGTGTTCGACCTTCATATTTCTCTTTTTTTTCATTAATAAACACTTTAGTATAATATTTCATACTTTTTTTGATAATGGTGTTTTATTATTAACTGATTTCCAATATGTTTATATAGATTTTATCTGGGAATTTTATATAAAGTAGTAATTTGAAAATTTTCTCATGCAATGACTTTCATTATTATCCAATATATTGCGACTTATGAAATTTTATTTTTATTTTATTTATTTTGAACTAACGCAAAATGTTTGTTAATTAAAATGTTTAATAAAATTTTGATCATTTGAATTTTTATGTCAAAGTGAGTCATTTGTTTATATTCTTCCGTATAAAAATTTAATAAATTAGGACGTCAATTTCATAATAAAATTTCGCTCGTTATAGTGAACTCTTAATCAAATCTCATTATTGTGACTGGAACTGAGTTCACTATAATGAGCTTTGATTGTTTGACTGTAGATACACTCACATTACCCAAACTGAAATCTCATTTATGTGCTATGATGATAAATTACAAAATCATAGTAGACATTTTTTTTACGTATTCTCCATTCTTATAAGCTGTTTTGTTGTAGACGATTATTCTATTGAAGACGTTCTTAAAGTTGATGAAAATGAGATTATTGGCAAACCATTATTGGTTTTTGACTAAGCCGACGGGACCTTCTGATAAGTTAAATTATAATCTTTCCGCTAATATTAAGACGACACTAGTTTACGTATTAGCATAATACTACCTAACCAATACATTACCATCTAGTATATAATTCACTTAAACTCAGGTTACAAGTCTAAGTCAAGTTCAACTAGACCTCTAGAAACTTGTTAGAGGGTCCATATTGATCTCCTTCATTTCTGGTGATAAAATTATAAAATTGTTAGTACATTCAATTCCGATGCATCAAGATTAGCAATCTCGCCATCTGATATAGAATCGAATTGTATGAATCAAAAAAAAAGTTAACCTAACGTAATTTTCGTCATCGCATGCATGAACGAAAGTAATGATACAATAAAACCTCTACACTCTCTATTTTCTATTGACTGTAATAAATGAATGGTGTCTTAAATTTTACAGCAATACTTAATTTTTTACATGGGTTTTTGAGGTTGGCAATAGGTTTTGCTTATTTCTAATAGTCATTCGGGATTTATACACGTCATGGTTGAGATGTTTTGGTGGTACAAATTACCACACCCATTAAGGTTGCTAAAGATATTATTCACGACGATTATTAATCCATAAGAGTAGTGCGGCAGAGAATTGATAGAATCTATCACACCTGTATGATAGATTTTGAAAATTTCTTTGAAAATTTCAAAATCAGATCACATACATAGCGAAGGCAAAGATAAAACGCTAAACTATTTGAAGGCCAAATCCAAATCAAAAGAAAAAAATTTTCTTCTGATTAGATGCAATATAAAGGTTTGAAACTTTAAATGCGATTCTTATAAATCAAGATTATTGAAATATTAGAAGATCATACAAGAGGCATGACAAGGCCTTGTGACTAATTTTATTGGTCTCGAGTAACCTATATGATTGGTCCGTAAGGGAAGCATAGCTAATTCCACATCAAAGAAGAAGCAGTTCCCCTCACCAAGGTTACCGTTAAGCCTCCATACCTTCAGCTTGGTAGCGAAACGTGGCGCACTGCCAGATCTCTGCTAGTTATCAACTAGTAATTAAACCCACTCCCAACTATGCCCCAACTCACACACTTTCCTGCCCGTTTGCTATTTGATAAAAAAAAAACGTGCATATTTATTATTAATAAAAATAAAAAAAAATAAATATATATACCACTTCCTTGTTATGGGAAGAAAAGAAGCTCAGAAACTTTTGATACGTAATACATATAAGTAGTGACGTTTATGAAGATCATTTCTATATGCATATCTTTTTAGTTCAAGTCAAAAAGATCGACATGTCCGTCTGTCTGGCACTTGATATTTGTCAATTAGAACTTTTTTTTTATTACATTAATAATCATATTTTAAAGTTCCTTAGCTCTGGATACATAACAGTTCCTGTTAGCTTAGTTTAGATAGATATTCATTAATAATCTCAAGATCATACTCTTTAGTATAAGTTTATACTAAAGTTTATTAAAAAAAAAAAAACAGTTAAATTCAAAAGTCTATTATATCAATTTTTTTCTGGCAAATATAAGAAATCTCTTAAAATTAAGCAAAGATAAGTTTTTTAAAGCTACAACTTTAAGATTAACAAACTCAATATCATCATCTGCGACATCTTGCATCAGCAGCAGGAAGGGCAGGCAGACCATTTGTTTTTACTCCCAGAACCTAATAAAGATAGTTATCAAATGACGTAGTCTAGGCCTTTCCTGTTACCAAAATGGTTACTTATTAATTTGCTATTCTAGAGCTCTCAAAATATAATTCTACTATATCAATAAAAATTGTATTCTTAGAATGTACTCTAGCTTCTCTCTTTCAATAAAATTACTAATTTGTTTTCTTGCCTTTGCGCGCCTTCCTGGTTATAATTCTGATATAATAAAAATTTACACATAGTAGAAAGTATGTGCAGACTAAAGTAAATTAGCCATAAACCTCAAGAAGATGAGTACATAAATAGTGTATCCTAGCCATCTTTTACTCATTAAAATCGTAAATTTATTTTCTTACTTATGTACGGCTTTTTGATTATAATTCTGATATGATAAAAATTTACATCTAGAAGTATAACCTTAGGTGAAAAAAAAATGGGGTGTAAAATTATCGTATACAAATAATATTCACAGGTTTACAGAATACTGAAGGTGCAGAGCATGTACACAAGATATGTTTATAGGGTTGCGAAGTGAGCGGAGTATGTACGCAAAATATGAAAAAAATAGGAGGGTAGCCTCCTAATTCGCATACTATAATGGTAGCACTTGCTAAGAGAAAAAATATAGTAGGAATATGAGCAAGCCCTTTAGGGTGAAGCGAATATGGATGCTATATTTTTTCGATCCTATACTACCCTATTCTAAAGTATGCTAATATATGAGGCAAATATGAATACAGGAGTTGCGGAACACTGAAGGTGCGGAGCATGTAACCAAAACATGAAAACAATTAAGTTAGGCTATCTTCTAAAGGTCTTAACCGAAGGAGGGTGTAAAAAAAAATGGGTAGCATGATGTAAATAAAAAATCAGCTAGAAGGTGTACCCATGTAAAGCATCTCATACAATAAACAGATTAGTCGAATAGGCTGAAATCATCATAAATCTTATTAGTATACTTGATATTATTTTTCTCTTGTTTTAGCAAAGTCTCATGTGATCCCTCTAGGATTCGCTTCTCCAACTGCTTCTCAAATTTGTATTTTTGCTCTCCTGCTTCTTCAGTTTTGTTCACTGACAGCTCTAGAAGCAATTCATCAATTTTCATCTGGATTAAATCATCAGCATTAGCTTTATTCTGAAGCTTATTAATATATTGGGTCACATAGTATCCACTAGCATGCTTTCTACAAAGGCCAGGTTCAGAGCTAGTCGGCTTGCCACAAACCTTTTTTTCTCATAAATTCAAAAAAAAAAGCTAATAGGATATGCTATCAGGTTAGGCTATCTCCCGCCAATTGACAGATTGAGAGAGGAATAATTAATTATTTTTTGAACAAAAGTTTTCGTACTATTAATACAAATAACTGAATTGATTCACTTACTATCGAAATGGTACTTCAATATCCTCGATGTGGAAAGAATGACTTTAAAAAGACTCGTGATTTAACAAATCATCTTAACAGAAAGTTTAAGTGTAAGCAAACCCAAATACCTAACCCGGTTCAGCCATCTAGCTCTAATATATTTAGACTTCAATCACCAGTACCCAGTCCCCCATCTCTTATAGTCTATGTTCGTAAAAATCATCTATCCATAGAGGATTTGGCCAACTGGCTAGCGAATCCTGAGATAAAAAACAACCCAAATGTTATTAGTAAAAAGGTTCTAAAAACAGATGCAGAATGGTTTGATTTAATGGAAAAGTCACCTAGTAGATCGTAAAAGAAACCCTAAGTTCCACAACTAGAAGAAAACTCTGAAGCCGGCCCCAGTTTAGCAACTCAAGTGCACAGAGAAGGGTTAGCCCCTAAACCTCCACTACTTATTAGAAATGCAGGTCCTGTTATTGGAACTATTGCTGGCTATAAATTTATTAGTAATGAAGATGCCGAAAGATGGGATCAAAAGCAACATGAATCCAGAGAAATAAGACTTCCAACATTAGTTGAGCTAAAGAAACAATTAGGAAAAAAGAAGAAGGCATACAAAGAAGAGTTAACATCCACCCTACAGGACAAAGTTCAAGGGGGCATGCAGAATGAAGTTCAAGGGAATGAAAACGATCCAAAGGATCTAGATAAAAAAGTGCCTTGGCCAGTTCCATTTCCAAATAATGAAGGGCATCAGAAAGTATGGCAAAAAGGAATTCAGATGGCAAAAGATATGTTTAAAATAGATGATGCTGAATATACATTTTCAACCTGATTTGCAAAAGTTCTAAGTAAAGATTTAATAAATATATTATTAACA